AGCAGATATTTTTAATTTCTAGAAGATAAATAACAAAAGCAAGCACTTACTGCTATCCGTGTCAGGGATGCCTTGACTGCGCTCCATTTGTCCCGTCGTCTGTCTATGATGATGATGAATCCAATGCTGGCAGCCTCCAGACTGCAAAACAGATGAAATAAGTATGCTGGGTTACATGGAGATGCTCCCATTCCAAGGAAGTGTACTGCAGCAAAACACAGCCTCCGTCAGATCACCCTCTAAGCCCATTATGAAAATGCAATGTACAGTGGAAAGAATGAATATTTGGCAGAAATTCACATGAAAACGAAAGCTGGCAAATTTTCTCTTTCCAGTGTAAGGCTAGCAGCTTACGCAAAACATGAATATTTTATCTGCTATGCTACTCTGCTGCCAAATCTAGGTGATATGAAGAGTTCGGGATCATGAATTATACTGTGCTATATTGAAGGCAAAAACATCAGATCATGTTTTCTCTGCAAAATAATTCAAGTTATTAGACACCCCACTTCAGTCTTCATTCTCCAAGAATGCTGACATCTGACAGAAGCACTTAACTCCAGGGAGTCAGTATCTCCCTACTGTCACCACCTTGCCTGTGTACACAATGCCCCAGGAATTCTGGTAGACAAAGCAGGAATTGAAGAGTTATATCTTGCCAACCACAAACTGGTTCTAGGGTTGCAAGTCATTCAAAAATATCCTTTTAACATATTGGCTAGAATAACAGTTACTGTTCCTTCTCAGTACTTTTCAAGGAGGATCTATGAGGCACTGATTTGATGCTCCATCCCATCTATGTAGTCCTCATAAATATCCCATCCTCTCTCTCTCTCAAAAATCCCACTTTGATGTGCAGGGCTTCAGTGGGACTGCTCTACTCTCTGCGTTCCAAGAGAGCTCAGAGTTGGAGAGAAGTCCTTAGAAGCTAATAAGCACACACTGAGAAAAATCTCCAGAAACTTCATTATAGCAGGATGGCTCAGTCATCTCTAGACAAATCAGAGGCAGGCAGAAAGAGTATACATGTCATAATCAAAGGACATACTGCAATCAAACGTCTAATTACAGATTAAGATCAAGAGAAATTGTATAAAACATTTCCTTGAACCCTTTTCCATTGGTCATACAAGAAGCATCCCAGGAACACCATTTTCATGGGTCATTTTGTGCAAACTCGTGTCAATAATCCACTAAAGAGCACCAACAATACCAACTCTGAGCTTCTGCTGCAGTTCTGCAGGATCAAGAACAGCAACCTGGAAGCCAAGGGGTTGTGCAAATCCGGGATGCCATGCAAGTGTTCCTAATAGTTCATGCTGGTACTAGGAAAACTCACTGAATTTCACACTTCAATATTTTTTACGGCATTCCTCTGAGAATTAAAAAATTCAATGACAATAGACAACCTTTCCTCTTAAGCAGTGCAACATGCAGCTCTTTATGCAGAGGACAGAAAATGTGTTTGCAGCACTGCCTCTCAAGCACAGGGAAGATAATTCGCCAGTTTCTCCTTTTATATATATATATACAAATATATCCATATCCTTCAATAGCCTGACAATCGTTTCAAGGAAAAAAATGCCCAGTGTGCTATCTATGTGTTTGCTCTCGATGTTAGGGAAAAAAGGTTCAGAGGAAGGGGCAACAAAGAAATTGTGTGTATTGCAGATTGTTACAGAAAGGGTGTGAGGAACTAAACTCAAAAGTCTCAACCTGGGGGCTTCCTAACCTACCCAAAAATCTGCATTAGTTTTCTCAAACTGCTTCTGCTGATTGGGACCAAAAATTGCTTTGGAAATCTGGTAGGCATGAAAGGCCTGGACAAATCCGCCTCAGCCTCCAGACCACTAGGTAGCATCTCTGAAGACAGGGTGCCTGTCCTACCTAATGGAGACACATAGGATAAGGTCAGGTTTTTCTCTCTGCCTTGACAACCGATGTTGCTGCATTATAGGTGAGGTGCCAGGAATTCTGATTACATCTCAAACAGAGAAGGTTGGGGTAAACTTGCTGATAGTTCGGGAAATCAAAATGAGCACAAAGCCATGTGTCATTTTCCTCCTTTGCTTGTGTGATACATGTCCAAAAAATTATTTTTGGTTTAGTAATTTGCCAAGAAACATTTAGGTCACTACAGAAAGAAAACAACTGCTAGAAATTGTAGGGTACAAATGCGTTCAGGAGTCACAAGGGAAAGGAAAGGAAGGGTGGTTTTTTGCTTCTCTGTTCCCATTTAATACCCCTGGCACAGCATCTCACTCCAGGCAAAAGGCTGGGGTGGTGTGAACCCCCACTCCTCGGCATCAGAGCTGCATCCACCCTGGGCACAGTGGTCTACCAACCCCTGTGCCAACAACAGCTCCAGTTACTCCATTTGCTGCAGATGAACCTGGAAACGACAAGCCCCCAATCCTCCCGTTAATACAACCACCACCCCAAAAGGCAAAAAAGCCATTGAGAAGCTGTCAAACAGAAACACACTCTAAAAACCAGACTGATGTGGGTTGCACCCAGTTCCCTGGCCTAGGGAATAGGAAACCATCCAGTCGACCCTGACTGCTGTCTGGCCATCCAGTCCACAGAAAATTGGGTTGTTAAAGACAGGATCATACTCATTAACAAATACTTAAAAACTCTCCTACATACTATCCACCAGTTCAGACTAATCCAGAATAAAGTTTTTAAACATTTGATACTGATATTACTAACAGTTGTCACAATCCAGTGCTCTTAAAAACAATCCCAGCACCCTCGCTGGCCTCTTGTTAAAGCACAGACTCAAGCATGCTCTGGCCCCATACAGGTGGAGGTTAGATCTTCTATTTGTGGTTCTTCAAATGACCAGAGAAATGAGTAATCCCAAGATGCATGTCCCACTTAGGTTTCTTTGCTCTTGCAGGGAACAGGATTTGATCCAAATATCTGGTTAACCAGAACAAATACAGAAAGTGCTTGTTGTGACTAATTATTCCAAGAGAACGATGTTACAATTCAACATCCATGTTGCTTACAGTGTGTTATTGAAACTGGGCTGTTGTCTAGAACAAAGTTATTAGTAATATAGTGAGATATGAAGGGTGAATTAAGTCAATGCAATTCTCCTTGCAACAGTTACATGTTTAGATGATCTTGGAAAAGGCTGTCTCTTTAATATGCTTTACATATTTTTGACAGCCATGTTAATTTTTGAGAACCATGTTAAAGCAGCAGGAAGATGGGAATGTAAGAGGACATAATTTCAATCAAACGGATCACCAAAATATGGCCTCTACTCCAAAGAAACAGAGAATATATATTGTAATCAGCATCTAATTATGTTTTCAGCTCAGACTCACACAACCAATTTGTAGATGCTGAATATCTCTTAGTCAATAATTGGACACACAGAATCAGGTTCAAATCTGATGCAGTTTCATTGACACCAGTGATTTATAACAAAATGACCAACAAAGTAGGTATGTTAGTTGAAGTTAACAAAATGCTGATGTTGGTCTAAAGAAATATATCATTCAACTAATATCAGGTTAATAAAAATGAGAAAAATCTGTTCACAAAATTTATGTTGTAGCTAAACCACAAGTAACTATATCCATAAGCACCGTATTCACAGGAGCTGACTGCACATAGAAATTGCCTTGTTTTGCCCACCTGACTGGTTTGAGAGACTGACTAAAGGCTTTCTAAAAGGAGTGTACCTGGAGGATTGAAGGCCTAAAAGAATTCAGAATCAGACCCTTATAATCACATCTTGGTGAGCGAACTGCAGTGGAAGTAACTGACAAGACGGCATTTGCCAAAAGCAACAAGTACAACTGTGGTTTAAACAAACACAAAAGGATTTGTGCCAAGTAAAACTTGCCTCTGTGCCTCAGACTAACTCTTAAGTCCCATTTTTTAAAGTCCCTCAAATATGTAGATCAGAAGTCACTTAAAAAGAGACCTTTGCTGTTTTTTCAAGTACATGTCCATGATCGAGTAGTTCATTTTTTCAGATATTCTTCTGCATGGAGATTTGTAACAGCATAAAAGCATCCAGGCATCAGATGCATCTGAATAATTACAATTGCTGTCTATCTTTCTCTTTTCGATGTTTTGCCATATGGGCACAGAAGATCAATCATTCCAGAGGGACTTAGGAAGTTACTAACTCACTGAATGATGTAATCTGCACTCATAGATCTTATCTACACAACTAGCATGAACCTTATTCTGCAGGATACAGAGAAACAGACACTACAAAAGACACATATTCTCTCTACATTTGCCTGAGAAATGATGCTGATTTCTCCAGTTCACTGAGCTATGAACAAGGAAGTATTTTCTATGATAAACAGGGCGAACTGCTTTTCAAACTATACTTCATCTTACCTGATTCATGGCCACGCCTTTTGTAACTCCACAAGATTTAGAGACTATTCTCTTCTCTTAGTCACTTTGTTTGATACCTGCACATCTTCCTTGAGAATTAAAATAAAAGGTGAACCACTAGAAGTGAAATAAGAGGTACAGGAACACTACCATAATACATACAGTAGTACACAGTACAGCAGTGCTGATGAAAGTAACAAATGCAGTCCCTTTACTGCTCGATGAGATGTATGACAGAGACACTCTCTGTGCATGGCCCAGCCAACTGCAGATTAACAAGGCTCTGCTGCACCCAAACAGGTCTACTACTTATGCCACATTAAGATTGTACTTCATATGCTTATGTCATAAATCACACAACCAAAGCTTGCTGCTCAGGTTCTTCCTCTTCTAAATTAATACCTTTGTCCCTCACCATCTACATAAAGGGTGGCGAGTTTCAAATACTGACTCAAGAAATGCAGTCAAACTTTCTAAAAGCATTGCAACAAAGACTAGCAAACTCCCGGGAAAACTCACATCCCTACAGTGTGATCTATGATTGAACCTAAGAGTCAAACCAATGTGCTGGTATGCAGAAAATGTAGGTTCAAGCCCCAGCCTTTCACTGACCTTGAACAGGTCATTTAAATCAAACAGAATAGTCACTTACTCAACGCAAGTTTTGGTGAGCCTGTCTGTAGTGTAAGATATTACTTACACATACCTCATCATCTGTAAAATAGGCATATTGCAGCTCTCCTGACTCACAAAGTTTTGAAACTTAATTCATCATTCTTTGCACATTGCTCTGGGATTCCTCGGGGGAAGAGAAAACACAAAACTGATAAACTGAATCAAAGCAAAGGTCCATCCAGCCCAACACCCTGTGTCCAGTGTTGGTAGGCAGTGGATATTGAGGCAAAAGAAGAAGGAAAGTGAGAAGGACAATCTTTTTCTTGGTATATTCTCCCAAGTCCCAGCATTAAGGAACATATGGATTTCTTCAGCCAGAATTTGCATCTGAGCCATGTGTTCAGCTGCCATTGATGGAGCTATCCTTCACTAATTTGGCTAATTTCTTTTGAACACATCTGTAGTTTTGGCTTTCACACAGGCTGAAGAAGCATAAAGCATTTCTGTCTATCATGTTGACAATGTAACATGCTAGTTCCCCAACATGTGACAATATTACTGGGAATCACCCACCAGCATACCAAATTCAAAGAACTGGAAAACTAGTTTTGTGTTTTTCTCAGCTACTATTGCTGTTTTATTAATCCTGAAGCTGGTCATCCTTCCAGTCCTGAAGCTAATGAAGAAATACATAAGACAGATTTTCTCCTGGCAGAACAAAAGCCCTACAGAGCAGAGGGAAACAATGAAGCTGTTAAGTTCACAGTGTGTGGTTTCTCTCAGCTTGCTTTGGCAACTCAGTATGGGGAATACATGTAGGTGGAGCTGGAAAACTTCTTACTCAAACTTGAAGGAGGCACGTTTTCCCCTCATCATCCTCTAAGCACCTTTATGCACAAGACCACAGGAAATAATAAAACCCTGCTGTGCTTCTAACTAGCACAAACAGCCATGGTCCAGAGACAGGATCAGGGGGCTGAAAAAATATTAAGCTCTCTTTTTGGATAAACAAGAAGTAATTCAGCAGCCATGTCTTAGCGCATTTCCTCAGAGCAGTGGAAGTGAGTTTGTTTCAGTATCCTTGCACAGCTGCAGGCAAGCAGCAAGGAAAATATCCTAGCTGCGGAGCGATCTCCCAATAAACGAAGCATCAGAAAGCACATGGTGCTTGCCAGAATCCTGTCAACAGGGCACCTAGCTTGCTTTCCCAGAAAGATGCACTCAGAGAATAAGCAGCAACAGGACCTATATAAGTTTGGCTTCTTCCAGATGCAACCTTTCCCTTGTTGCATCCAATGCCCCTGAGAGTTTTCACAAATAGCTCCTCTTAGCTCCCTTTTGATCTGTTATCTTTACTGCTGCTCTTCAGATCTACCCCCTCCCACCCAGTTCAAGCCCTGGACAGAAAACCTGTCCTGTGTGAAGCTTTCTTTCCCATGCAAATGATGTGAGTGGTTCCTAGGGCCTCCGGTACATTGGAAAGTTTCATACTGACTGGATGGATGCAGAGTCACTGGTACGTCCTGGTAGCACCACTAAAAGCAGTGAGCCACTGAGGAAGCAAAGCTCTGTAGGAAATCAACAGACAATTGTGCTTAGCCTCACCTGGGAATGCTGGTTAGATATGTGACCACGTTCAGAAAATCTTCATCAGGTATGTCACTGAATCCCGCAAATTCTGGAAAGGTTATAATGGGTGCCCCATCCTTCCCTCTTCCTCCTGCAAAAGAGAGGTTGTAAAGATCAGAAGGTGATTTTATGCCTTTGGACAGACTGGTCAGTACTTAAATGGGAAACACTGACATACCCCTCATTGAAAAGCACGCAGATCCAGTACACGTGATCAGCTTCCCATTTGATATTGTAACTCACTGTAGTTTCATTACCTCAGTTTACTCCAGCTGAGATTCTAGCCTCTGTTGTTTATTCTCAGCTTTTTCATGAACCTTCTGCATAATTCTGATTAAGTGCTTTCTTTGGTTCTTTGTTTTCCATTTCCAAGTAATTTCTTGTGATAATTTTACAACATTTCCCTATGTATAGGTACAGCACTCTCTGATTCCTTCTAGACATTAACAGAAATGAAATTATTAATAGAGCACACAAGCTTTGAATACACACATATAACCCATGACACAGGCCTAGGACCAATCCAGTCTTAGGTCTTTCCTTAACAAAAAAACTGCTCAAAGTGCATAGAGTATTTAATCAATCAGTTTTGCTCTTGTCTTGTTTATTTGCATCAAACCTCCATTAAATAGGACAGGAAGGTCATAAACAGCAAGATCAAGAAGAGTCCCTATCTGAGGGACTCCCTGATCCAAACAGCAGTATTCAAACTCTAGTAGAGTTCCAGGAAGCATGGAGCTGAGTCCTTTATAACCCAGCAGCCTTTACAGTTCTCCTGACACATCTCCTGCTCAGCTCTAGGAGATGTTGTAGTACACAGCACAAACCCTGTTTACTTGCAGGACCAATCCTAACTTGGTTATGCTAATAAATCCGGGTGTCACTCAAACCACACAGAAGTTAACAGGAGTTTTCTCACCAACTTGGACTCAGAGACAAGAACAGACTAATGAGGCAGTAGCACATAAAGGAATATGATGAAACAAAGCTTTTGTTACAGGTACCTTATTGCTTAGTGTTGCTTAGGGCATTAAGGGCGTGCTTTTCCCTGAGTCTTTCTCCTTCCTCTCTAATCTCTACGTAAGCCTATTTTTCGCACTAGGCTGAGGAATTCTCTACAAACCCAATACTGAGCCTAGTCCTGCAGCACACACAGTTTTCCTAGTCATTTATCACCCGCAGAGGATTCTTGTCCAAGGAAGAACCATGTCTGGGTTTCCCCTGAGTGAAGGGTAAGCTGTGAGAGACAGACAGAAAATTACCTTCCTGAAGAAAAATATCCAAAAAACGATCCCATTAGGAGTATGGGAGGAAACAGAGACTCAGGGAAAAAAAAATGAGTCCTTATTCCTCAAAAGCACCCTCTAAATCCCCACAAATGAACCCTGTTTCCAGGCTGCTCCCATAGATCATTGCCTTTCCCTGCTGATAACCACAGCTGATACCACAAACCAGTTGCTCCTGCTCCTGTTTTCGTGATCATTGCAAAGACGTGCTCCAGTAAGTCCTAGCTATTTTTGTGTAGAGTGGTCAGTCCCTTGCTAGTCCTGATCCTGCCTCTGCCCAACCCTCCCTGGCTCACTTGGATTATTTAAGGTCCCTTCTGTGCTGTCCAGCCATGGAGAGCTGGGACACTGAGGAACACAATGTTTGCATAAAGTAAAAGTGAGAACTCTAGAAAATAGGAATTTTGAACAAGGAAACCCTTTTCCTTCTTGACATCTGGTGACATGGTGGCTTTGTCAGGACACTACCTTTAGCCCCTGTTTTCCTTTCTGAAGGTTGATTATTGCTTTAATTATATCTGAAAATCACTCAGTTGTGTTAGATCATCCACTAAACTCACCCTGCTAGGGAGAAAACAGGCCTACAGAGATTCAAAAGGCTTTCAGCCAAAATGCAAAGAAGGAATACTATAATTCACACTGCACTGTATTGGATTTCAAATGCTGAGCAGAGCCACGGCCTCCACATTGACCTCCACATTGGCCTTGGGATAAGGCCAAATCCTGATGCATGGCAGCTTGATCTCAGGGCACTCTAGCTGCACTATCTGCAGTCAGCAGTGACATAGAATATGCTGCCATGCAAATTTAGTCAGACTTTCCCCAGACTGTTTGCTGCACTCTAGAGACCAGGAACTCCAACCAGCAGATACCCAGTTAGGATGGTTTGTTACAGATTCTTAGTGACATCTTCCGGACACAAACAGTAACAGCCAGGAAAATGAAATGGTAAGCTTGTCTGCTCTGTCTCTTCTTGCAGAGTTCAATGCATGCCAAGGTATTTCATAGATGGTATCTTGTACGCATTCACATGGTTCCTGGGCACCACACTTCCCATTCATGTATTTCAGATATGTGAAGATACTCTAAACGGGGGAGATGTAGTAACCTGGAATATTTTGGTTTAAAGCAGCAATATTTGCCCCTGGAGGATAAGATGAAGATTCCCCTGGATCCCCTCCTTCAACACCTGATAGTTTACCTGCAGTTATACTCAAGATTTGTTTAAACTACAAGTTTCACATGGCACTTCTAATGCTCCTGCTGACCAGGGTCTGTTTGTGTCCCTTTTATCTTCTCTTTCTCTTGCATCCACATTCATACATGTGCTCTTCTTCCTCTGGTCTCATTTCCTCGTGCTAGATGAGACAGGCTGATGACACACTGTATGTATGTGGGTGTGTATTTTTGTCACGAGCCATCCAAGGAATTAATGTAAGCAGACTGAACACTGACTTCTTCCCTTCACCACTGGCAACAAATCTAGAAGGACACTTAGAAGCAGCCTCAGACTGAGCATTCAACTAAGAGCCAGGCGCTCCTTGCCTCTGACTAGGCCACGCACCCTTAACAGCTCTTGGGCTCCATCTCATTCTCCAAGGTGAAGGTAGCACTTCCTGCTGCAACCAAAGCAGAAGAACACTCAGAAGGTTCTTGAATACAGCTATATTTCAGACAGGGAAACAAACAAGGGAAACAAACAAGGAAAGCCTTGGTTCCTGCCATACCATGAAATTGGGTTGAAGTTTGAGGGAGTTTTGTGGTCAGAAATTGTTAAGTAC